TACTAGGTACGACATATATATATATATATATATATATATATATATATATATATATATATATATATATATATATATATATATATATATATATATATATATATATATATATATATATATGGTTTGTGTGCAACCACTGAAGCATCGCGTTATGTAATAATAAATTTAGATTAAAGGGCAAACTAAATTACAGATCACTCACTTCTTTCGTTACAAAACCTCCTCATAATTGTTATGTTAAATACCAAAAGGCGGCGCCAGACCAGGAGAGGCCTGCCAAATAACACCTCCAGACGTTATTGGGAGGCCTTTAACATCCCCCAGACGCTATTGGGAGGCCTATAACATCCCCCAGACGCTATTGGGAGGCCTATAACATCCTCCAGACGCTATTGGGAGGCCTATAACATCCCCCAGACGTTATTGGGAGGCCTTTAACATCCCCCAGACGCTATTGGGAGGCCTATAACATCCCCCAGACGCTATTGGGAGGCCTATAACATCCTCCAGACGCTATTGGGAGGTCTATAACATCCCCCAGACGTTATTGGGAGGCCTTTAACATCCCCCAGACGCTATTGGGAGGCCTATAACATCCCCCAGACGCTATTGGGAGGCCTATAACATCCTCCAGACGCTACTGGGAGGCCTATAACATCCCCCAGACGCTATTGGGAGGCCTATAACATCCCCCAGACGTTATTGGGAGGCCTATAACATCCCCCAGACGTTATTGGGAGGCCTATAACATCCCCCAGACGTTATTGGGAGGCCTATAACATCTGGAGATGTAACAACCAATAACATCATGGATTGCTTTCTGTCAGGACTTACTTCACTGTCATAATATATAAAGCAACTGTAGTTAAACGACTCATCAGTCTAAGTGGATTTATTAGTATCTGGATGCTGAATACTTTTTTCTGAAAATATTCCCTCAAGCTTGTATCAAAGATGCTACTGAACATTCGTCTAGATTTCGGGGGTCTTAAACATGTTCTGTCATTAATGTAAAAGTCTTAGCTACTGCATGCAAATGGCCGTGACTTGAAACCCAAACCATTTATTTTTTACCTGGATAAGTTGTGGTAAAAAGCTATGTATTTAAGCTTCTAGCTGTATAGACCAGAAGCTGCATACATTATTGTAGAGGAGTTCAGAGGCCATTGACAAACCTTAAAAAAAAGTGACGCTTCGCCTGTATAATCAAATCCAGCAGAATTAGCTAGCAAAAGTGGAAGTAATTTTTCAAAGAAGGGGACGAAGCCGGGAAGACTATATAGTACAAATCAAAAGTGGAACAAATACTTATATATCAAGGGAAAGCGATAAACCTGATTGGTCATATTACATTTTTTTTAATGAACAAGCTGAGTCAAAAGCAAGTCATTATCAAAAAGCAGACATCAAGTCTGTTAGACTATTATTATCTGTGTCGCAGCACAAAAAAAAAATCCTAGCTGTCAATCAGTATGTCAAGAGGAGAGCAAAATAACAAGACAAGCGACGTCAAAGATATCACATTCAGCAAGGAATTTATCGAAGGACAAATGACTCAAACACTAGAAAACACAATCGCCGAAAATACTAACAAATCCGCACAATCTATGAGGTGCGCGATTGTAACCATAAGGAGCAGGGCGTTGCTCCACTGAATTACACACGAGTTAAGCTCCAGGGTAGGAGGCAGACGAAGGGGAACACGTCACCTTTAAAAGCGTGCCCTTTATTATCTGCAATACCAGACCATCGACCTTGTTAATGGTTGCGGAATCAATAGAACAGGCGCAATGAATGGCCTCCTTAAGACAGGCAGTTTAGTCCACAAGTCATTTGAGGTAACACCAATATGGCCGGATGTTTAGAAAAATTCGACTATCTGAAATCTACTGAGGATGGAGAACGGCCAGTGGTTTGTGTCGACCACCACAAGATGTAAGGGGTAAGGTACCCCAGAGTGGTGTCAACCACGATGACAAACGTAGAGGCAAAAATGTAGTTGAAGAGCCTATAAAATTGCATAAAACTCCGCCGTGAAGATACTGGTCTCAGGGGGGGGGGGCAGACGGAACATGCAGGTTTGGTCAGATAAGACAAAGGAGCAGCCAACACACTCATCAGACATCGATCCATCAGTGAACCGAGCAAAAAAAGTGTGTAAATGTTCAAGAAAAAGCCGAAAATAACCCTCCAATAATAGAGGAGGGATACGAGCTGTCACCGTGCAGGTCAGAGTCTTGCAAAATTTCACAAGTAACCCTCCAGGGGAGAGCAAGACAGAAACAAAACGTGGTATGATATTACAGACGTGAACCGGGAGATCATTTTGCAAACGGGTCATCCTTGTAGTACAAGGAAAGTGGCGAGAGGAAACTGGGACCTCTGGAGTTACAGCCCCGCTCCTGTGCCAGACAAGTCCACTACGGGCTCACCATAGACCGTGCTACTTGCAACTTTTCGCTTCGAGTAGCTGAATCTAAAACAACATCCGAAAGGGTACTAATCAAAGCGCAAAACATGCGGGAATGGAAGGAGTTTGGGGGACTGCATGAAGTATCGAAGGCAGTAACGGACAGCGACGATCTTTAGGAAGACAGAACACCGGCTTTAACATTTAAGCTCTGGATAGGCGATGCACGAACGTCGGAGACAAAGGATCGTGGAAAAAGCAAAACAATAGGCGGGTCAGCCATACTCTAGTTCACACAACACAAAAGGAGTATACCTCCAACAACTTCCCAGGAAGTATGAGTAAGAACCATAGATCATTCAATTTGGAGACGAGAGACAATGGGCAACAAAGACAAACGGGTATCTAAGATAAATCCTAAGGGTTTAGCATTATCCTTACAGGGAAGAGAATTTCCAGAGCAACAGGGAGGGATGAGGAACGGCATTCTTGCGAGAAAAAATCAAAACACAAGTCTTAAAGAGAGAGACTAAGCCGTGACTGGTAGTCCGGGACGACATGCTAACTTTCCCAAGTAGAACTCGGCATTGGATAAAGGAGACATCGTCGCCGCGACAGCAGAATACTCCAATAAGAATGGAGGAAGACCAAGTGCAAGCAGGAAAAATAATAGTGCTTAAAACACTCGCTAAGGGAACACCATGTTGTCGAAGGTGTCAGAAAGCAGTACTAAGGCTCTCTTAACGTATGACAAGAGAAGTTCTGAAGTTAAAGCTGGAGATTATCACAAAGGCTAAAAGAATGCAATTGGGTCTAAAATACTGTACCTCAAGATAGTGTCATAACGCCCTTTCCAGGTCAGAAAGGACTGCTACAATGAAGGAATTCGTAGCAAAACCAGTACTAATTTAAACCAACTCCACGTTTAACAGTATACATGGCCCTATGGGTCACCGGACTTGCCTTCCGAAACGAAATGCAAAATTCAGGTGTTATATGACGCCTGTGTTTTTTTTTCGACTTCAGATTTAAAAGGGGGGGGCAAGAGAATTTGAGCTGGTGGTGGTATCAGGGGTTTAAAGCTTGTTACAGTGCCAGAACAGATGAAGAGAAAAGTTATAGGATTGCGATTTGTCACACAAAGTCATGAAGAGAGAGACATCGGACCCTGGATCTTATCTAGAGACAAACATACGATCTCAATGATTCAGGTTGACGATGGCCTGCTCGAATGTATACTGCAGACATAATCGAGAATAGGAAGGGTGGGCATCACCCGTTATGCAATGAAGATGAAGAGAAGGGCATTGACAGGATGCCGGAGACCGCCAAACAGGTCAAAATGGCACTACGCTACTTCAAGTAGAGATTACATGACTATTTTCTCAGCACTTTTTGCAGAGAGAAGATGAAGTCCTGTACGGTGTGAATAGTAAGAGTGACTGAAGATGGGAGGTCCTAACTAATCAAAGCGTTCACATACCCAGTAGTGGTTTATGAGGTCGACTGCTAGCAGGGTGAAGGAGGAGAGAAGAGGGGAAGGTAGCTTAAATGTTTCAACCAGGAAAATAAAATATCCTTGGGCTTCTAGGATGTCTCCAGCATTCTTCCAGGTCCATGTCCCATATTGCAATAATGGGGCAGGAGGATGACGGAACGTCGACCAGGCCCAGGAGGCCTGGTCGACGACTGGACCGCGGGGACGATAAGCTCCGGAATCACCTCAAGGTAACTGACACTGGCATTTTTAAATGGGCATTCTTGGAGCCCCGAACCAAGGATCTCACCAATGCTTGACACGGCCGCTAGGCGTTCAGCTGCCTCCCTACAAGTGACCCTCAAGGACGTGTGCGCCAGACCAGCTGGGAGTATGGGTATCATGTGAATAAACTGACTTCACAAGGTGTTTTTGTGTGTGTAAATTCATCAGCGGTGGTCTGATCATCAGGGGTAACAATCGGCGTTGAACTCTTCTAACATTAAGAGACAAGTAGAGGACAAAGACCAGGGCGTACCGTGCAGCAACTGCGGGATCAACCTACCTACCTACCTACGTATCTCCCTCACTCCCTCCCCTTTGGTTAAATAAAGGTTACGATCTTCCAAGAGATGAGTGGATCAGACTGCCCACCGAACGAGCAAGTACCCCATGGATAGTAACAGGTCTACTAGGAGTAGACTCCTAGTAGACCTGGAGTCTACTAGGAGTCGAGGAGTCTACTACCACCTGGAACCATGTGAGGGTGCCGACCTCTCTCTATATACTCATTCCATCATAGTCCCTAATCTGGCTAGTCACATTAAGAGAAGCAGGAATATGCAGGTCTCCGTGCACGGCAAACCTGAGTAGGAACGAGCCAAGAGTCCTACTTTCGATTGTAAGAACGAGTCCTTAATTTTAGATTTTTTAATACTCTTGAGCCGCAAACCCAGGCCTCACGTCACGTAAGGATACCAGCCGTGACTGAAGGTTTGGTCGAGGTTCAAGGCCTGCCATTAAGATCTTTCCCACTTCACTCGTTTGATATAATCTGATGTATAGAGGATAAAAGCAAAATAAAGCGATGTAAATATTACAAATAAAACGATCAAAGGTGTGCATTATATTTTATTTAATTTTAAAAAATATTATTGTCTTGAAATAAAGATAAAAACTCAATTTGCAATAACAGTGAAGAAAATACCCTTAACTGGACATAACAATACATTTCCTCATTTTAAAATGATCATGACACCCACGATCTATACAAGGTAGATGACTAGTGCTAGCTCCAACAAAAATTTTTTTGGGGGCAATGTGGATTGCCAGATAAGAGGCAAATAATGGGGTTTCCCTCTTCGGTTGTATTCGCAGTACGACCACTAAAATTCACATTTACAAAATCGGGATTTAATTACCTTAAGTTCTTTTCAAGTTTCTTGTGCCAAATTTACTGCGTTCATCACACTGTTTTGAATCACTATTTACTGCCTTGTAAATGTTTGATTTTCATCTGAAATGCGGCGTGTTCTGTGTGATGGCGGACCACCTCCAGAGATCCTCGCTACAGGTGGTGTATGAAGATAACAGCACAAGTCTTCTCTACGCTTACAGATGCGAATGCCTGCATGCTTTCAAGTTAGAATCTAAAGACGTTCTTGTTGGTTAAACCGGCAGCATGAGCGCCCACGATCGCAGCATTTCTAAACCTGGTATACCATGGCACTTATTCCGACACAGCGCTGGGAGGACAGATGCCGGCCACCGCCCTGTCCATGCACTCTACATGAACTTCCTTCGCTCATACAGACAGTTGGGACATTTTTTCCTCATAAGACAGAAGAAGGAGAGGAAGCCGATGAACGTGATCAATGTGAGGCAGATGACCAGTATAATGCTGCAGGAGGAGATGTAATCCTGCAAGAACCCGTTCTGGAGAGAAGAGCAAAGAGACTTGTACAGTTAAGAGGGCAACACTTTACATATACAGAGACAGAAATAGGGAAGATCTCTGGAAAGAGATGAAAAACAAAAATATTTGATGAGGGGAATTGCACATGAATAGGGTTCAGCAAATTGGTTGAACTAAAAATTCAAATGAAATAAAATTCATATTAGTTTCTAACTACAAAGAAAAGCAGCGAGAAAACCAAAACGCTAACTTTGTTTGGCAACTATTGTTATGGTAACTACAATTCACCCTAACATCGCTACCTGCTTGGAGAGTCTCCTCCTTTCTTAGCCCAACATTCAAGACTGCCAGAGTAATTTTCATTAGGATGTATATTATTTTTTTAACCTATTTTTCCCAACTTGGCTAGACTTAGATGGCGCTCGACAGCCGTAATGTTGCGAGGGAGGGAAGGGGGTGACTTTACGTCTGGAGTGGTATCATCAAGAACTGGTGGGATTTGACATGGGTCAAATCCCAACATGTGATTTGACCCATGGGTCAAGCTAGTCGCCCAGCTCATCTTATGATTGGTCGGCACTTCAAATCGTTGATAACGTGTCTCTTAGGGAAGGAACTCTTGACTCTGATTCCTCCCCAGCTAAAGTATTCAAACCAAATTGTGACCCGCGAAACTGATCGAGATCGAGTGTCTTTTAGAGACTGGCGAACACACTGTAGGAGACGAGAGCGCCCGAGGAACCTTTACTTTGCAACCTTCGTCGACGACTACAGCAACATGGGGGGGAGAAGACAGAACAGGCGAGGCGCGAGCGTACAACCTCGCCTCAAAACGGAATATGTTTGAGGCGAGGCCATATGGCCAAAAAAACTGCAAAACCTCCCGAAAATTACCAGTTATTCGTGTCCGTGCCACCTCTTGAGTGGCATAAAAACCTCTTGAAGGCCCCCCCTCCTTGGAGGTAGAGGGGGGCCTTCAATATAAGCCTAACATGTGTATGTACACTGGCTGCATGTCCCCCCGACAGGGAATTTTCTTAACTATCTCAAAGAAGTTTAAAAAATACTAGACAAGTTGGAGGAAATTATTCAGACCACTTTTCTTTAAAAGGTATAATATAACGAATACAAAGGACAACAGCTTCAGGCTCAGCAATACTGAGTTGTTAGCTCAGGAGGAGGGTTAATAACCCTATTGGTGAACCACAGTCACCGCCTACCTGCTGATTCCGTAAACGCCAAGATATTATAATTACTGCAGTTAAAAATCCTGTTAGAATAAATCACAAATATTGGAGGGGGACCTCTCCCAAGCCGTCACCCTCTTCTCCCAATCGAAGGTGAGAAAACAAGGAGGAATGGAGGGATGAAAACAAGGAAAGAATATGGTCAAGAGTATGAAAGAATGAAGGTCAGGCCACAGAGAACTTTGTGTGAGGGAGCCAGAAGATAGTGACGATCACTGGTATAAGGCTGCGCATGGAATCCCGACTACTGGAGAGAGAAGGTAATCGGGCTGTTTTAGGTTAGTATCGACTGCAGCTGAACGAATTACATGAATTAAAACGCCCGGTTCCCAGAATACTGCAATATAGAATAGTTAGCCAATCTTACATTGCTTTCTGTTATTTAGTTTCATAGAAAACAAGATTTTACACGTAGACTAATGTAACGTTCACATTGACAATACACTTCCACCATATTTCTGGGCAAGATTTTAAAATAACAATTATAAACCACTGTACTTTAATATATTATGCCACAGTCTTCCCGGCTCGCCACTGCCTATTGCTACTTTAATGTATTATATCATACCCCTGACCCTAGCTAGGGTGAACACCACAGCTGGGTTCGTTCTCCACTCACAATCTGTAATTCCGGGTTCGAATCCGAACCGGGACAAATAGTTTGACGTATTCAGCCCGTCCTCCAAACAAAGATCCAAAAGTGATTCCATGCACCCGCCAAACCCCCTGTTTATGAATGAAAAACGGTTTACACACGACTCAACTCATTTCGTTCGAACACTTCCGGAACAAGTGCTTCACTGACGAATTTTGTTCGAACCACAACGCTATAAATGCTTCACCCACGTACTACAAATACAAATAATCGCCAACAGAACCCAACCACCTAACCTATGCCTATATATGCACAAAATGCTAATATATCATAATTTATATTTGAGAAAATTCCTGTTTTGAATGAACAGCATGTTAAAATTTATGAATGCGTCTGTGGGGTTGACCGCTGGTTGTAATGGACTTGAGTCGAGGACGGGTTGACGTATTCTACCACATAAATGTCTCATTCACCCAGCTGTAAAAATAGGTACCCAGGAGCTAGTCAACTGTTGTGGGGTTGCATCCACGGTCGGTATTTCGACCGTGGTACAAAGGACTTCGAAATATGCCTAACATATTTAGAACCTGCCTTTAGAAGCTGAAATCTGCCTATTTAGAAGATAGTCTCAACTCCCGAGTAACTTTTGTATTGCTAGGTAAACAGAGGCATCAGGTGTTTATCTAATTTTTCAAGGATTTCCAACATTTTTCACTACTCTGTTAAACCATTAAAAGCGGTGTTTTTACATTTCAAACCCATTAAATAACTTTTATTCTTGAACCAGCGATTATACAATTCACATTTTAATCCGGGTCCCGAGGCGCGGTGGAGAGCACAATCTGACCAAAGTCGAAATGTAAAGGGGGCTTTATTTCCCCCTACAGGACAGAAGCGTTTGAGCAGCATTTCCCTGCACCTAACGTCTCTGCTCGCCTAGCAGTAAAGCAGTTATTGCAACTTGCCTCCAGGGAAAGTCAGACGTGTCTCCGAGAGCCTAATTATAGGCTTACTATCACCCAACCACGGAAAATTTATAAATTACTGTATTCTAATTAGACATTAAATCGGGCGAAGAATCAATCTTACAATATACCTTGTGAAAACTTTACAATATGCTTTCTGGCACAGGAAAATAGTAAAGAACGAGGGGTTATACCTAGCACAGACGACCACCCCACACACGAAGGTAAACATTGCTTAACAATAGCCATTCCGCCACCTTTACAGCAACGACACCACTGCCCCACCTCCTTGAACACAGTTAAGCAGCACCACCACCAGTTGAAGGTCAGAATGTAAAGCAATAGGTACAGCAAAGATGGTTGATGGGGGCCCTGAGCTTCTCCTGTAGTCACTGATAGACAAGTACCACCCCCCCTCTCCTCCCAAGACTTGCTACCACCACCGTCCCCTACCACAGCTACCACCACCGTCCCCTACCACAGCTACCACCACCGTCCCCTACCACAGCTACCACCACCGTCCCCTACCACAGCTACCACCACCGTCCCCTACCACAGCTACCACCACCGTCCCCTACCACCACTCACCCTGCACTTGGGACAGTCGCCTTCCTTCTGTAGTTGCAGCACCTGGATGTTGGCCGGTGGTGGTGGCTGCGGCACCACTACCACGGGCTGCACGCATTGTACCACTGGCTGTGGCTGCTGCACCACTGTAGTGTGTTGTACTATTGGCGTCTGCTGATGTATCACGTGCTGCTGTTGTGGCACTGGCAGAAAAGTTGTAAATTATTTTTTTTCACGGTGTTTATTTATAATTCAAATAATTCATTGACTGCCTGTCTTCTAACAGTGAATTCATTCATGTTAGGCTTGTATCGAGGTCTTTTCCGCCCCTCAACAGGATGCAGCCCCACAACAAGCTGACGGTACTTACTGCTAGGTGAACAGGGGTATTAGATGATAGGAAATACTTCCTACCATTTCTGGCTGGCCTGGGATACGAAACCCCGATTTCTCGATTGCGAGTCGAGAACGAAGCCGACTGTACTACCTGGACCCTACAGTTATCACTCCATGTAATCTGATGTTAATAACCTACTTTACTCTTTAATCCAGTTTCAGCTACTTTTACACTGTACCGTAATTAAGAAAAATAAAGTTTTAAGTATCCTTATTATATGACTTTAAATACAAATGAAAACATTTTGGAAGTGCTGAAAATTAAAGAAATTGAAGTTACTATAAGGATGATAAACTTCAATGTCTATATACATGAAACCTTAACAGACCGAATGCCAACATAACTACCGAACTCTACTCCTCAATGGTTTCTCAAACTCCTGAACGTTTGCGAAACAACCTCACTGAGAACCCCAAGGCAAGTTGCATCCTTAATTAAACCAAAAATGATGTTCATACTATTAAGAATCTAGAAAAACAGCAATTATCTACTTTCCAATATTTATAGACGACCGCAAGTCATTTCCCTGCCCACAAAGATGGCCATTGGCCGCCGTCACAAACTGTTAGCCTAACCGTAAACTGTAAACCTAAGTAACTGGGTTTGATCGTGTAAAGGACTTTAGTATGGTAAAACATTGCGTGTACAACAAACTTATGACCACGCATACACCAGTATGATCATACTGTAGCTGGTGTATGATGTACTCAAACTGTATAGTGATATCTTGGCTGATTAGCCTAGTATCACGAATATTATAAATTATAGCTAATCTTCTTTTTGACAGTATATTAATATAATGTGTATTGCCGATGTAGGTTATACATAACCATGTATATTATATCAGTCTAGCAGTCTCCGTGGTGTAGTGGTAAGACACTCGCCTGGCGTTCCGCGAGCGCTATGTCATGGGTTCGTATCCTGGCCGGGGAGGATTTACTGGGTGCAATTCCTTAACTGTAGCCTCTGTTTAACGCAACAGTAAATGTGTACTTGGATGAAAAACGATTCTTCGCGGCAGGGGATCGTATTTCAGGGACCATAGGATTAAGGACTTGCCCGAAACGCTACGCGTACTAGTGGCTGTACAAGAATGTAACAACTCTTGTATATAATCTCAAAAAAATATCTTATATATTTTCACCCACAGATTATATACTCAAAACATGCTCCGATAAGAGTTCATTTTTTAAATAAATTTGCTACAATATAGTCACCTTGCATCGAGTACATTTTAAAAGCTAGTTTTTCAGACCTCGATGAATTCTGTTATTCGCGTTCACGAAGACACTACAACAACGACGGCTCCTTCAAGAGTCGAGGGAAGAACAACAGTCGCCTCGGAATTCAATACATCAACGGAATCAACAGACCGTACTTCGTGCACTCCTGTAGATAAATGACAAGAAGTCGTAGCAATAACAGGACGATACAGTCGCACTGCATCGCTGCCTAAAATGAGTAGCTGACAACATACGGCGTTCCCCAAGCGCGGTAATTGAAGTTCTACTCAACAGATGGCACCACTGATAACGAAATTTAATTAATGTTGATAAGTAATCCAACGCTCGTGCTGGCGCTCACAAAATGTATGACATCGGAGAAATTGAAATTGAAATAAGTTTACTGAGGTAAAATTACACACAAAGGGATGAGGTAGCTCAAGCTATTCTCACCCCGTTCAATACACTGTGTTAATACATAAACAGACACACATCACAAGCAATAAACGTATTACCGAACATTCTGAGAGATAAACATATACATTTCCTCCTTTACACAAGTAGTATGGTATCAGACGTACACGACATCGGAGAAGAAACCGGTTTATAAAAAACTCAGAATATCTATTTTATTTGCAATCCCCCTGAAATATACTTAAAAATTGGATATATATAAATAGATGTACATTTTGACATATTGAAATAATGTAAAAATGACAGTATATATAGATTGAGTGACACGAGAGGCTGGGAAAGAAGAAAGAAAGAAAGAAAAATAAAGAAAGAATGGAAGGAAGGAAGGAAGAAAGGAACGAAGGAAGACCAAATCAACTTGAGCATAAGCGTATTGAAAAGCAGATGGAGCTGAGACAGCTCGTCTCTCTAAGGTTTCCGAATGTCAAGAAAACGGTCAATTTAAGGTGTCCTCTCCTAACCTACCAGAGGACCCAAAACAGAAAACGGGACAGTACGTCACTTTCGCGAGCTGCTTCCATTTTCTAGTCAACCTGTCTTCTTACAAATTACGTCGCTTTTCGCTCGCATGCGCACTCAGGCTAAAAATGGACGTAATTTGAAATGAAATCGGCTCACGGAAGTGGTGTACTGTCCCGTTTTCTGTTTCTAGTCCTCTGACGATTGATGATTGTTAAAGATTAAGTCACCAAAGAGGTGGCACGGGCATGAATAGCCCGTAAAGTCTTCTGGTTTACACAGTTTGGTTAGGAAAGGAAACTTTCAGTTAACGATTTTCATGACGTTTTGAAACCTTAGGAGAACTTCCTACCCTCCTAACCTACCAGAGAACCCTTACCTTGCTACTTCGGGAAAAAAAATATATATTTTCAATTATTTTTCAATTTTAAATTACGTCCATTTTTTTGGCCGTATTACATACGAGCGATAAGCGACGTAATTTGCAAGAGGACGGGTTGTTCTAGTACGACAATTTTTGGCCTTATGTTATCTTGAGGTTATCTTGAGATGATTTCGGGGCTTTTTTTTTTAAGTGTCCCCGCGGCCCGGTCCTCGACCAGGCCTCCACCCCCAGGAAGCAGCCCGTGACAGCTGACTAACACCCAGGTACCTAATTTACTGCTAGGTAACAGGGGCATAGGGTGAAAGAAACTGTGCCCATTGTTTCTCGCCGGCGGCTGGGATCGAACCCAGGACCACAGGATCACAAGTCCCACTTGCTGTCCGTTCGGCCGATCGGCTCCCCATATGTAACACATATGATCGAAATGCGACTTTCTTTGCAATAGGACAGTTTGACTGAGAGCCTACATATGACTTCTTAACTTGACATACTCTGTAGGGAGAGACGTCTCTGCCAACGCTTCCGGATGGCCTTCCAAGCATCTGTAGTATGCAGAAGTTATGGGAGGCTTTCATATTGGAAAGGGATGCTTTCTAAGAAGGAAATTATGGGATACTTTGTAGGAATGTACAAGAATGTAAGAGCGCTTGTATATTCTTTAAAAACGTTCTTGTAATGCCAATTACAAATGTGAACTTGACAAGGCCTGTGAAACCTTACAAGATTCATTGATAAAACCTTAGATAAATTTAACAGGCACTTCTAAGGTCGAACCCCAACTAAATGGGCTGAACGGTAGAGTGACGGTCTCGCTTTATGTAGGTCGGCGTTCAATCCCCGACCATCCAAGTGATAGGGCACTATTCCTTCCCCCCCGACCCATCCCAAATCCTTATCCTGACCCCATCCCAGTGCTATATAGTCATAATGGCTTGACGCTTTACCCCTGCTGACAATTCCCTTCCCTTCTAAGGTCGAAAAAAATATGAATGCATGAATAACAACGAATACATTAATTTTACCATTTCTTACAACATGAATGAAAATCACGAATCTCTCATAACTGTTTAAATCAATGTAGCATTTGATATTCTACAAATATATAATCATTGATAACAAAAATCGCTTTTTAACTCGAAAGGGTGAGTGCACAGTTACCGTATAAGCACGTATAAATTTGCTAACAGTTAAGCAAGTCCCAGCTGTGTCTGGGTACAAGTGACAGGATGAACAACCCAGAGGGTTTTCTTCCTATTGGGGAGTGTTGTACATTCTGCTATGGCGGTATGTTCACTCACAAGATGAGTGGCGCTGCCCAATAAACTCGCCCCTCGGGGCAAAATTAAAAAAAAATTTAATTTGCTAAAAACCTAAATAATTAAATTACCTTGCCAGCATGGTCCGTATGATAAGATTGCTTCAATGATTTATGGTGACCTTTGTGGCTTTAGAAAATCTCAGTGTGCAGTCATTTGCAAAAACAGAGGACGTCTCGACTGACTTCAGTATGTAATCACAGTAAATAGTTCATTGAAAAGATCCAGTCACATCCACCCAAGAGTCCACTACAACTTCCATTGCATGACTGAGGGAGGATTTCTTATTATTGACGACCTTAATGCCCCGACTGCTTAAGCTCTTATCTTTAAAGACAGAGAAAATATATCTCCTATCTAAGTCACTTTGTGTTGGACTCTCGCAAGCGCTACAGCACCTACACAATGACACTTATATACATGTGTGTAATCTCTAACACATGTATCCACTCTAACGCATGTATCCTCTCTATAATCAAGACTTTGGTTCAAATTTATAGTCAAAAGTAACAAACAATGAGACCTTTTTTTTAAATTAAAATAAGAATATTTGTCAATATTTCTTTACTGAGATCTTTCATAATTTTTTGTAAATGTCATCATTTATTAGAAATAATTAGTATTAAAATTATATATAAAAATTGTAGTATTAGTAATGTTATTTATTATTATTGTTGTTAAATCTTTAACATCAATACCGTGAAGACTTCATAAGGTCAGCCTACCCACCAAGCCAAAAACCTGCACCCCCGTTCTTTGAGAAAATTAGAGTCGTGGGTCGTATTATTAAAGTTAAGGAAGGATAGCTTTTAATAACGACTTAAGCATGACATTTACAGCCTCCCACTCCCAGAGAGAAGGGTAATATACCCAGCCAGCCCTGCATATCTCTCTCTCTCTCTCTCTCTCTCTCTCTCTCTCTCTCTCTCTCTCTCTCTCTCTCTCTCTCTCTCTCTCTCTCTCTCTCTCTCTCTCTCTCTCTCTCTCTCTCTCTCTCTCTCTCTCTCTCTCTCTCTCGTGAGGCCGAGACGTGACCAGCACCCTACAGGAGATCTGAATAAGCTGGATCCTGCTGATGAAGAGACCCGGATCTATTGATTTATTTTCTATTTTGTTAAGATTTAATGCAACTCCTCTTTCTCATGTACAGGTGTGACTTGTCATCGTTCGGTAGGTAGAGACAGACAGACAGACAGAAAGAGACAAAGACAGATGCAAAGACAGACAAGCAGCTAGCATATGTAAGTGTATTACTAGCAAAAACAGACTGATTGGCAGAGAGAAGATTCATATAATTCATATGATTCATACTCAGAGCATCGTCTGTGTTCAGTCTGTGTTATTCTTGTGGAGGAATTACAGTAAACATTTATTTCTTGTACCTAGTATAATATATACAAATTCACTGCGTGTTGATAAGGAAATATTTTACAACAGGCGCACGCCATTCCGCAACTTAAGGTCGGTAATACTGATTCATTCAGTCAAAAATAGAAAAGGTTCACAAATCATAAACTGATCGATAAACTGAGACAAACGGAATGCATTAGGAAGTGATGTGGTGGCGGCTGACTCCATACACAGCTTCAAGTGTTGATATGATAGAGCCCAGTAGGCTCAGGAACCTGTACATTAGTTGATTGACAGTTGAAAGGCGGGACCAAAGACCAGAGCTCAACCCCCGCAAATCACACTTAGATGAATACACACAATCAACGACTGATTGAAACACAATTAGCTCCAGAAGAAGTAAAGGAACAGTTAGAGGAGATGGATGTGGCGAAAGTCTCAGGCCCAGACAAGATCTTACTATGGATCCTATAAGGAGCAGCTGCAGCATTGTGCCTGGAGTCTTCCTCACTAGAAATGGGGAACTGCCAAACATATGGAAAGTGGCAAATGTGGTACCTATATACAAGAAAGGAGAAAAACAGGAGCCACTGAACTACAGACCGATATGACTAGCAAGTATTCCGTTTAAGATGTTAGAGAGAATTGTGAGGGATAAAATGTGAAGAAAGTATGAAAGAATTAGACCCAACGACGCTAGAAAAGAGGAAAGAGAGAGAGAGAGAGAGAGAGAGAGAGAGAGAGAGAGAGAGAGAGAGAGAGAGAGAGAGAGAGAGAGAGAGAGAGAGAGAGAGAGAGGAGAGGGAGGGAGAGAGAGAGAGAGAGAGAGAGAGAGAGAGAGAGAGAGAGAGAGAGAGAGAGAGAGAGAGAGAGAGAGAGAGAGAGAGGAGAGAGGTGAGAGAGAGAGAGAGAGGGGGGGGAGAGGGGGAGAGAGGGAGAGGAGAGAGAGAGAGAGAGAGAGAGAGAGAGAGAGAGAGAGAGAGAGAGAGAGAGAGAGAGAGAGAGAGAGAGAGAGAGAGAGAGAGAGAGAGAGAGAGAGACAGACAGACAGAGAGACAGAGGAGGGGAGACAAGATACAGACGAATTAATTCTTAGGGAATTGACAGAATAGAAAAAAACAAAGTGTTTATATAACCAACAGAACAAGAGGTCATTGATGGTTGCTTGAGAATCAAACGAGTCATATAGATGT